AAGGTCAGAAAGTAGTGCTTTTATAGATATTTTGCATATATAAATTATTACAATAAAAACTACTTTATTGCTAATAAATGCTATATATAGTAATGTTAAGATATATAAGAACTAATAAATATAATAAATATAATATATATAATAGATATAAAAGATATAATAAAAATAATAAATATAATAGATATGTAATATCTGTTAAATATGTTAGATATGTTAAATCTAATAGATCTGTTAAAAATGTTAGATTTGTTAGATTTCTAGTACAGTAATGTGAGCCAATTAGAATTAAGTCACATGTACTAGAATTAGTGCTTTTATCAAAATCATTCTGATCTTGTAATCTTATGATTAGAATTACATAACCTTGTGCTCATTAGAATCATCTCAATGAGTTGAATCTAATAGTGGTTGTTTCATCTAATTTGGTTTAGTACATCAAATATTATAGTTAAAAATGTGTAAAACTTTTAATATTAACATTCTTCTCTACTTAGTTTTGAGATCTGCAAAAATTAAAATAAGGCATGATAGTCAGAACTTAAGAGACTAGAAATCATTAAGAGGGTAGTTGTATTGGTTCTAAAAATTTGTTCTACTCCAAGGTTATAGAAAATATTATAGGTTCTAATTAAAATTCTATAATAATAAGTAGAAATTTTTCTTCAACTTGTTCTTCACTTTTCTGGGTATTTTTTTAATAATTCATCTAAATAATAAGTATAGGCAAGTTGTTTTTTTTTAGAAACTATTAGTCTAAGAAGCTTTCTATATATGGTAGTTATTCATTTTTGTAGGTCTTGAAATTCATTGGTTGAACAAGGTACAGTAGTTGGAAAAACAGATACAGTATTTAGAAGATTTGAGAGAATAGTATTGAAATAGATATTCATTGTGAGAGAGTATTATTTTTATTAGTATGAGGAGGTGATTGATTAATAACAATTATAGGATTCCACAAATGTCTATCGTAATATCTTTTTAGCAACAAGATATTAATTGGTGTTTTTAAAATATTGCCTTTTAAGGTTCACAATATGTAAACATCTGGTGCAACTTTTTATACACAAAATAAGGTTCTTTTATTTGAGTAATAGGTTGTCAGAATAATGTTTGTCTCTCATGACATTGTATAAGAGAATTTTATCTTCTTTCCTAAAGATTGGTTTAACTTTTTTGTGCCTTTTGTTCTAATAGAATTTTTGTTGAATTTGAGTTTTCTTGATGTTGTTATTGGCTTTTTCTTATTCTTTGGGTAATTCTTTAATTAAGGAGAATAATTGAATAAAAAAGTTTTCTTCTAGTGGGTTATTAATATTAAAGTTTGGAAATTTTGCTTCTCTTTTATAAATAAGGTAGAAAGATGTAAACTTGGTAATAGATTATTTTGCAGTTTGATAAGCAAATAAAATAGATAGAATAAAGATATCTCAATCTTTGTCTTAGTTAGTTAATTTTGCTAAAAATTTACATAATATTTGATTGAATCTTTCAACTAGTCCATTAGTTTGTGGATAATAGAGACTAGAGAGTAAGTATTAGATTTTAAATCTTTAAGAAGCATTTTTATTAGCTCATTATTAAAATGTGTTCCTTTATCTGACTGCAAATATGTAGGACATCCATGTTAACAGATGATATCTTCATAGATAAAATTTACTGTATTTTTGGCATCAACTTTAGGTACAGCTTTTGCTTCTGACTATTTTTTTTTTTTTTTTTGATATTAAGATAACCTTTTTGGTTTTTTGACTTTTATTAATTACTTATCAGTATTGTGGTTTAATAAACTACTACAGGAGAGCATACAATTGGCTACATATGTAAGTTTTCTATATTACCTATTTAAGGAGTCTGCCCAAAGGTTCTCTACCAATTGCTATATCTAACATCTCTGCTTGGATGTTTCACTTTAAACTCTCTAAACCTGTAACCTGTATTAACATCACTAGGTCATACTTAGATGCCCAAATCATTATCTTAACTTTAGGACTAATTTATTCTCAAGATAAATCCACTAGAGCCTTCTGTACCTATTTTTACAATTGATCTAGGTATCACTATAACAGAACCAACATTTGCAGTCAGAGCTAACCATTAAACTGCTATGTCTTTGTAGAGTTTACTTAGACCCTAGCATCTATTTTATAGCATAACTCTGATACTTTAGTATACTCTTGCCTTTTTACTTGTCTTTTTACCAAACTCCCAATTCAGATAGTCTATATAGGACTATGACTAGTCCATCAGTATATTGGGTTAGCCTGATATCCTTTTTCTCTGATTCATTCTAGTGGCCTGGTTAATAGTATTTTTGAGACTTCCAATATGAAGATTCTTGCCTGTTTGGTTACTACAACTGGATACTATAACTGGGTACTATAATCTTAGTATCTGTTTATCTAGGCTAGCCTTTACAGTAGGCTGTTGAAGATCCAGCTATCTCTCTACTTGAGTCTTTCCAAATAGACTTCTTATTATCTAATTTCAACAGATTTACATAGCCACAAGGACTTATCTAGTGTTTGCACCATCCGATTTGTTAGTTTGCATTCCTCTGTATAACATCATACTTACACAGATGCCTCATGACCTACCAGTTATGCTGGTGTGACTACTATTACAGGTATCCTAACCTAATCATTAGTAACAGTTGCTATAATACAAATATTACATAGGTAATTATCCAAATTTTTACTATTGATAGGATTTGAACACTCAATCTACTACTTAGAGAGTTGACAACCTGACTACTTGCTTCTGGCCATTTTGCCATATAGTTTGTAGCAACTATAATATACTTTTTTTGTTAAGTAGTAATAAGTAAAAGTCTAACAAAATCTATGCCAATTTGATAAAAAGGTACTTCTACAGGAATTGGTTAAAGAAGTCCAAATATTCAATATTTTTCTTTTTTTTGGCAAGTATCACATATTTGAACATAGTTTTTAATATCTTTATACATATGTGGCTAATAATATTTGTTTTGAATTTTTCCAAACATCTTATCTGTTTCAAGATATGCTCCAATTAGATGCTTGTAAATTATGTAGAGAATTGGTTCTACTTCATATGTTTGAATTACTTTAAGTAATTGGTAGATCTTCTGTTTTCTTCAGTTTTGTTTATAAAATATATTATTCTTAATAATATAGAATTTACTTTAAAATTCTAAATGTTTTCTTTGACTTTTTGTAAAGTTTGTAGAGAAATTTGCTGTTTCCAAGAAGTACTTAAGGTTATGGTAAGTAATAGTTTCTATTTTTAACTGAGTTGCTAGGACACTGACTACCTAAACTAAATTTTCTTTAATGTCAGATTTGTCTCAATAGAAAGAGAATTAAATATAATTATAAAAGTATATAGAGCTCTAGCCTTGCTTTATACAATTTTAGACATCTATTTACTCTAGGCTAATAATTTGAACCAAGAAAATTTTTCTTAATCAGTTAACTAAAATGAAATATTTTATGCCAACTGATTCAACTGGTTAAGATTTACTTCACACTTTACCTTCAAAAAGTCTTAAAGCTTTATTTAAATTTTTGATCTTTTTAGAATTCTTAATCTTTCCATCTAATTACTAATTTTTAACCAGTTGTATAGGTTAACTAATTAAGAATTTACTTATCCAGTTACCTAAAATTTATTCGATTCAGGTCAGTTAACCAATTTTAGCCTAACTGGTTCAAATCACTACTCTAGGCCCATAAAAAATCTAAACTAAAAATAAGTATACTATATATATAAACTAATAAAAATAAAGTATCAACATCTAACTAATAAATATAATATTCTAATTTAATAATAAAAATAAATATAATTGTTTAAAGGAGTATAAAAAAATTCTATTTTCAGTACTTCAACTAAGGGCCTTACAAGACTCAAATCTTAGCAGAAAGCTCATCCTAGCTAGTCTTGAATGTATAACCTATACTGCTTAGTAATACATCTTATACTGTTAATCCATATCAGAAATATTACAAAATTTCAAATCTATACCCTTTTTGGAGATCATTAGAATATTTCAATTGTTCAATAAAATGCTAAGATTTCATGTGATTTGTAATCATGTAACTTACAAATCTTTGCTATTCTAAATTTGTTAAATTAATTTCTAATTAATTTCTAAATTTGGTAACTCAACTTTTCATTGATGTCTAATTTTGTTTTAGTTTTGTCTGTTAAATTTATAGTCCTTTTGTCACTTCTTTTTTTTTGTAAGTTTCAATATCATCAACAACAATAACAAAAACAACTTCAACAATAATAATAATAATAACAATGCCTCACTACAGTCTTTTTGGAAATGTTTATCATGCTTACCTAAATAGCAATAATGTTTTGTATAAGACCTTAGGAATGGTTTAAGTTGAGAACAAATGATGAGTATTGTCTTTAAAAATTTTTTTTGTTTTCTCTTCTTCTCTTTTTGTTACTTAACAAAACTTGGTTATAGTTTGCATTGGTTGGTGGCCTCTTAAAGAAGAAGAATACAGACTTTGAAGACAAAGTTAGAAAAGTTAAAAGCAAATGCAATTGCAAGGGTTCAGGACAGTTGAATGTTGGAGCAGCAGTATACTCAGTTGTTGAAAGAAAGAAACAAATTGAGGACAAGGTTGGCAAATGATGAAGAGAAGTTAAGAAGATTAAGAGCAGAAGAAAGAAAAAAAAAGAGAATAATAATAATAGGAATAGAATGTCAAGTATTGGTTTTTAATTTTGCTATGTAAGGTAAGTATTCCTATTTTGATGCAGCTAATCTTTCACAATAGCAAGTCTTTATTGAATTGGTGTAAAACACCTGAATTTCTTTTGAATTTGATTTATTTCAGTTTAAAGTAAGCATTTGTATAAAAAAAATTTTTTTTCAAATAAAAAAAAAGTAAATCCTAATTATGGTAACATAGATTCTTTCAAAATCATGATCATCAAGAGAACGCCCTAATTTGATGCACTGAAATAAGGTTGGTAATTTATTTTTTTTTTAAATCGATTTATACTTACTTTTTCACCCCTATACACTCCATATTTTTTTTTTTTTTCCTTCGTGCTTCTTGCTTCTGTGCCTTTTCTGCTTCACGTGCTGTTCGCTTTTGAATGGCCACTTCTTTTTTACATTGCTTCTCGTTAACCATTCTTTCAGCCTCCTCCTCCGCTTCTTTTAATTGTTTTAATGATTCTTCATTGGTCAGAAGCCGAGAAAAGGGCATAGTTTTCCTTTTTTTTCTTTTTGGAGGTTGGGCTCTAGATTGCTCCTTGTCATCTTCCAGATCTTCAGTTGGTAGGTTGGGGCACAAGAGATATTTAAGTATCTTCCACAAAGGACTTGTACCAGGGTTATTGAGGGTTTCAAGTTCTTCTTCCAATCATTCAACCCTCTCATTTAGCAACCTAATTTCTGACAATAGCTCTTTTTTAGTAGAGTTTGCTTTGGTGAGACATGTATAAGTTGGAGCTAACTCTGAAGTTCGTGAAGACAAGGAAGATTGTGATGAAGACGAGGAAGACTGTGATGATGATAAAGGTGAAGACGAGGAGGACTGTGATGATGATAATGAAGATGAGGAAGCTGATTGCTCAAGGACTTGTGGAATATTGGTACGTAATGAAGGATCTAGACGATCAGGACCAATTGCACTAGGGTTTAATGACCAAATTTCAGTAGTCTTGAAGGCATTGCATATTGTGGTAGGCATATAGGCTGCAATATAGGATGGTCCTAATAATTCAGTGAATGTGTACTTTGTTACAACCTTATCATTGTTGTTAGTTCGAAACCTCTCACACTCTTTATCATATGCTTTCTTTAATATAGCAAATGGTAATTCAGCTGGCTGTAGAATGTGAGTGGTATGGGGGGGAAGAGCGTAAAGAAGAATATTATGCTCATGACAAAAGTTAACACTAATGTAGTTGACATAACTTTTGTGACCGTTTAGAATTAACAAAACAGATGTATAGGCAGGATAGAACTAACAAAATGCTCAATATATTTTTGAAATAGGCTTTCCCACATATATCCCATTTCAGTAAATCCCATGACAAAACTAGCAGGTGCACCGTTTAGAAGACTCGGAATCATTCATTTTCCTTTAAAAATAAGCAATGGTGAGATGTATGTCCCCACTGCTGATATAGTTGGGCATACTGAAATATGCTCATGAGAGCTGCCATATGAAACCTGATGGACTTGGCGTGCTTCTTTTTTTGCTATAACTTTTTGGAGCCTAGGTTCAATGATAAACCCGGTTTCGTCCTAAAAAAAAAATAAAGGCTGAAATACAAAATAATTTAAAAAAAAAAAAGAAAGCAAAAAAAAAAAAAAAAAAAGAGAAAAAAAAAAAAAAAAAAAAAAAAAAGGGGAAAAAAAAAAAAAAAAAAAAAAAAAAAACCCACACATTCCCAATTCTCCCCCACGCAACCTCCTCTCCGCCAAC